AGGTCCCTCGCCTGAAATAACGCGGGTCACGTGACGGCAGCACGGCTGTGTTTATGGTTTTGCGTTTCACATACGAATATGCTTGGCGAAATTTATTGACTTCCTACCTTTCGTTCGTTTTAGTTTTTGTACCTTTCCTCCGAAATGCAATGAAATTGAGTAATGATGAAACGAGGAGATTGGTTCTAAAAGTGAGGACAGATAATAAATAACAACTAATAAATATAGTTTTGAAGAAGTCAGTGACAGAGTAACCGACGAAGAGCATCAACATTTTGCACTTGGGCTTATGTTCTTGTTTGTTTTTTTACGTTGTTCGTGTTATCCTCTTAGCACGTTTAGTAACAAAACGTTTTCTCTTAGTCTAATCCAACATTTGCCTTTATTCCATGAGTATTAGATACTACAATGCTTTTGCGAGTTGCGTTTTGTCGCGACTGAATTTTTACTAAACATTTTTTGGAGATACTCTACCTGTAACTAGTGTGTTTGTTTAGATCTTTAGTAAAATTATTATTTTTCTTAAGTTTAAATCTTCACTCCTCGTAATATTTAAATTGTTGAATTGTCTTGTAAGGTGAGGTATATGTTTCTTATAAAAAACAGAAAATACACGAAATCCTCTTTTTACTAGGATAATAATCATCACAGATTGGCTTGAGACTCCACCCCAGAATGTGAATATGGAATGCTAGTCTACTCTCTTTTTGGCAGTGAGATATGGTGCAACACCGTAAACCGACGGCATCTACGTCAGGAATTGATTTATGGACTGAGGCCGCGCGTGACGCCTATTCGCATCCTGCCCCGGGAGAACGCCGTTTCCTTCGCGTGTAGCGCACGAGGCGTCGGGAGGATAGGGGGGGGGGCAGACGCGTGTTCTGAAATGTCGACGATGCGACATTTCACCGCGATATCGGCTCTAATACTAGACCAAATCAGCAGTCCTCTACTCACCTTTGTGATGCTACTAAGTGTGTTGGTTACTAGTGTCCTCTATTTGGGGCTGCTTGTATTTAGTTATATCTCGTTCTCACAGTTAATTCGCTGATTTGAACTTCTCAACACTAATCCTTGCACAATTTGGATTGTACCTGGAGTTAGTTTTGCGATTTTTTATTATTGTATTACATTAGAAAAATATCAAACACATCTCTAGACAAACGTAAGCCGGTGAACAATCACGATACATTTAATGAAGTGAAAAAGGTTAAATAGCATGTTACGAACAACTTTTCAGTGAGAGTTATATACATTTTGATATAAATATTCTGTAGAATAAATATTTATGAATTAGACAATACTGTAACAATTCTTTCGAAACTACCATATACTCGTAGAAATTACTTCCAAAATATTAATAAATAACATGTGTTATTTAATGCGTAATGTTAAATTAATGACTTACCATTCAATTTAAATATTTATTTTGCTTTTTAATATCTTAAATGCTTCTCTCAAATATCAGAATTTCTAAAATTACTCTGAATTTGATATAAACTACCAAAAGGTGTATTTTCTTCCGTAAGAAGTAAAGAAAAACTCATCCGTATAAATTTAATTAAATTTAATAAAATAAAATAAATTAAAACAATTCAAATATTAGTATAATTATTTTTCCATATTTCAACGATTAAGACATTTTAGTGAAGAGTGTACAATGAAGTACAACTCTTCGAAAAAGTGTGGACCAAATAGTTGTCTGAATAGTGATCCGAATAGTGGCCAGAACAGTGGTTAAAGTAGTTGTCCGAACTGAAGAACTCTTATGTTCGAAAGTGACATATTACCATGAAACACTTTTTCGGAAAGAAGATGTAAACACACTCAGGCTTTTTGTTCAACATTTTATGATACTGTTTCATATAGGAGAAACGTAATTTTTAAACACATTACAATACTTTACGATACAATACGATGCAATTGTATGAAAAATTGATGCATAGAAGTTTTAGATTTTAATACACAAATGAATGGATTATTTCAGAAACAACATAATTCTCAGTTTCAGCTCATATTTTTTTGCCATTTTGACATCTTACTGTTGTCACATTGTCTTTACGTCGTATATGCATTGTTTGAGGCAGATATAGTGTACTTCAAGCGATTCTGAAGAATTTTTGGAACAGATCTAATAAAAACTTGACTCACTGTGATATATAGTCACATTGAGATACTTTTTATCGAAACTGCAAAGTTACTTTCCACCAACTCATGTTTTTTTAAAATAAGCCATTCATATAAGAAAATAATCGGGTATGGAGGAATGCCACTTTGTAAATGAACGCTTCAAATATGGTCCGAAGTGGCAGAAGCAAAAGCCCCCACATATTGAATGAAGCTAAGCCGTGTGCCAGTGCTCTCCTGCCGCGGTGCCAGGACGTCACGTGACACCCTTCTGCACCGCTGGTTCAGTACTTCGCTGCACGAGGAATCTACTCAGCGCGAGCCATTTTCATTCATTTTCTTCGCTATAATTTTCCCTATAAAGCATATTGTATTAGTTTGACGCCGTCATTATCTATATTTACTTGATATCTACCCACATCGAGATCGACCAAATCACATCCAATAAATGAATAAGTTATCTAATATGAAACGGATTCCACCGAATGCTTTTCTGGCCATGGCCCCTCCCAACTACGTATACTAACTCATTGAATTGAATTGAATTTTTCTCACTTGTATCATTGTATGAAACTTATTGTATAACACCTCTTTATTATATATTCCTTTTGTCTTCATCATACCATTTTTTCTTTAATTTCATATTCCTTCGATTTTTCTCCTCCCTCGCCCTTTTTCGCTAACTTTTTTGCAACATTTCATCTTTTTTTACGCTTAACTATTTTACTCCATAAGGCATTCTTTTCTTCTCCTTTCTTCCCTGATACTTTGTACATTTCACTCCTTTTCTCCTTTCTCTCTCGTTCTGCCTCGTCAGTCCTCTGCCGCCCCCCCCCCCGACAGGCGAGGGGGCGTGGCTGACGTGCTCACTCCGCGCAAACTTTGGCGTAGAAAGAGCATCGCGCTCAGCCGACAATTTGTTTGCGTACACAGCTCGCTGCCAGCAGGCAAACACGCCACCAGTGGCGCTCACCCGCCCCTCCCCCTTTGCACCCTTTTCACGTCTGCTCCCTCCCCGCTCCCACCGCGCTCCTAAGCCCTCCCGTCCCTCCCCGCTCCCACGCCCGCCCTCTCCCACCCTGCCGCTCTCCCACCCGCCTCCGCCCCGCCCCGCCCGCTACCGCCGCCTCCGCTCCGCCCCGCCCCGCTCCACCCCGCTCCCACCCCGCTCCCACCCCGCCCCCGCCCCGCTCCCGCCCCGCTGCCGCCCCCGCCCCGCTCCCGCCCGCGCTCCCGCGCCACTTCTAACGCCCTCCCGCAGCTCCCGGTTCTGTTCCCAGCCCACCCCCTGCAATGTCGCTCCAACCCCTCTCCCAACGTCCTCCCTCCCTCATTCACGTCCGTTCTACGGCCCCCGCTCCGTACCCTACCCGTTCGCAATGCCATCCGCGCCGCAACGCCCTTCCGCCCTCGCTCCCGCCCGCCCCTTCACCCTCATGACCCGCTCCTTTTTCAATATGAAGACCTTTGATTTAAACACGTCGCGAAGCGGCCGCCGGCGGCGGGCGGTGGGGGCGTGTCGTGTGAGGCACTGGGGAACCGCCGGTTGGAGCGGGATGGGGCAGGGGAGAGAGTTGGGAGCGCGGGCGGGCGGGCGGACAGCTTTGCGCGTGCTTTGCCCCCTGCAGGAAGCGCTTTGATTTAAACGCCACGCCACGCGACGCGGCGGCAGTTGGCAGCGCGCGCTGCGGAAATGCAGCTGGCTCATGTTTCGCGCCTTTGTCTCGCGAGGCGGGTTGCCGGCTGCCCCTGCGAGCGGAACGCGAGGCTTGTTACGGCGCTTACATTGCGACGGAGTGCAGCGCGGCGCTTTGTCACTCGCGTTGCACAGACACCTCGGCGCGCGTGAGAGCGAAGCGCCCTTGCAGCTACTAACCTGCTTTCTCCTTTGTTCGCAGGCTTCTATTTAAACACCGTAATTACGTGGTAATGAGTGGGCAAAGTACCTTTGTTTATGCGGTTCAATTTCGTAGCAATAAAACGGCTCAATGTCGATTCGGATAGCCGAGGTCGCGAACGCAGTTGTGTTGTGGCGATTCGCGGATTCGAATCGCGGGTTCGAAGCCCCCTTCGGGCATGGATGTATTTGTGATCACAACTTCCCCCTTCATCATCACCCTAGAACTTCGTTACACAAGGGTTCATAATTTCCTGTGCGAGCAGGAGGCCCTTGCCCTTAATAGGATGTGCAGTTGGCTAATCAAAAAAATCTACTCAATAGTAAGGTGAACATCCTGAAAGTCATCTATGTAGATTAGAATTTAACTTCGCTCTTGCCGCACTTTGTTGGCACGAAATATAATTAAATTTGATCAATGGGCTTTTTATAATATCATCCTCATTTGGCATGCTGCTGTGTTATTTATTGCCGTGTGCTTGAATTATTATTTAAGCATTCAAAAGTATAAAATTCTTACATTCTTATTTCATGTCTACGCTTAAGAAACACAATATAATTTAACTTTTACGACGTTCAGAGATATCTTAAAGGAACCGTCTATTTTTAAGTAACTCAATGGGTTACGGAAGTGTTAATTACTTGGGACGACATATACTCGTTTGGATGAATAATTTTAAACTTTATGTAAGGCTTCAACATTTGAAATTTGATCTTGAATCCATTTCTAGTCCTGACGTAGAAGTGTTAGTCATTGATGGTAATTAGCCGTTGGTATAATATAGAAAATAAATGTTAGATGCCACAAAAAAGAATGCATAGGAAACTGCGTCTTAAAGTTTTCCTTGGAGTGAAAAATTCATTTAATCCGTTGCATGTCAGAGGAGCGAATTCCTGGGCTGTCACTCTCGTCAAGAAGCGGCCTCTTGGGAATCACGCGCCTTGCGAGCGAGGGCGAGGGCGAAGGGCATCAATTATGGATCGCGGGGTGCGGGTTCGGTTCGAAGGCCTCATGTCCAGCTACGTCGTCTCATCCACCCACCCCGTCACCCACCCGGTTACCCACTCACCTACTCACCCGCTCACCCATCCGGAGATGCTTCCAAGCATCCATTTACCCAAGCACTTGTCTTCCAGAGCTAACACATACCTATCCACCCGTTACTCGTCTATCTGAACATTTGAAGATATTCTTAATTTTGATTTACAAGACCAATGTATGTTAAACTACTAAAAATTAAATGTTCATTCATCCAACCATTCATTTATCCAAGTACCCTTTCAATCAACCCTCCCAGTACCCATCCATCCCACAATGCACCCAGTCTCTTGCTCATCCATTCATCAATCCGTGTAACCCATACAAATGTACATCCACTGGCCTATTTACACGCTTATTCACCTGTTTATTCATCCATCCACCCATCTACTCACGTACTCACTCGCCCAGCCATCTACTCGCCCATCCACTCATCTACTCACGCCTTCACTCATCTATAATCCCAACTACTCACTCATCTACTTATTTACTTGCACAACACCCAACTACTCGCTCATCCCCGGCTTTTTGTCACCCATCTGGACACCAATCCATCCACCAACTTATAAAGATAAATTTATTTAATCTGCAAATTTGTGTAACCCGGTGGCAGATAATTACATAAATAAGATAATATAGCTAACATGCAAATTATATAATAATAATAATAATAATATAAAAAGTGGCTGATTCATAAAAAATTAATTTACGTTAAGGAAAAGAAACTTTTATAATCTAACTTCACCCTGAATATTTGTTCAATTACGACCACACTGCACTGGCATCCATCTACCCACGACATTGTCAATCCACTCGTTCAAAAACCGAACAAAATCCAACCACTCGCTTGTATGCCCGTCGTACTTATGATCGGCCACCCACTTCCCTCCGTGCGCCCTCTGCCCGCTCCGCATCACGGCCCATTTGTTAGGGTCATCATGCCTTCGTCATTTGCCTCATTTTGATCGAGGAAAAGCATGCTATCAGATGTAAATATTTTCATACAAATTATACACAGTAGCTAAGTGTAAAATGTCTGAATCTTTAAAAAAAAATTTGTACAGAAACTCTCTACAGTAAACACATCTCAACATTTTTGTGGCAAGTATTTGACAAACATGAAAATTGTACCACGTAAACGACGTTTGGTTGTGTCACCCTAGGCCCCTCTCTGCTTGTCAACCCACTGACCTTCAACTGTTCAATTGCGGTGCTCCTGGCCTTTGCTCTCCCCTACCCCTGAAGGTTGTAGAGGGGGATGGAGAGGCCGTCCTTTCCGAAGGGCATGCAAAAGGTTCTTCTTCTTTCCTGCCTTCATTCAGAGTAGGAAAGGCTAATGGGTTCCCGGGCTAATGCGACGACGTTTTGAAAAGCGGCGGTAAAGTTCAGCGCCGGATATTGCTGCTTTTCAGGAAAGAAAGGAAAGAAATGTGTTGTGGAGAATTCTTACAAAAGAGTTGGCATTTATTTGAGATCGTTGGAAATAATTTAGGGTATAAACGTTAGTTCAACGGTTTGTAAAACACAATAAAAATATAACAATTGGGTTTACGTCTAATTAGGCCTTTTGATGAGATGTGCGATTTAACACATGGAGCGATTAATAACAAAAATTTTACAAGATCAACAAAGTCAATTTTTATAAAAGGGTTAGTAAACGAGAGAAAATAATAAAATATTCAAGAAAAAAGTAATGCAACTAAATTGAAATAGTCCCTACTTTTTTGTAAATTATACATTCATAAATTACATTGTTATAGTGTTCTAGAAAGTTTATAAGGCATTTATATCTTATTCAACTACATTACTGTATGGTAATCATAATGAATAACAGTATTTGATTTGTCTAATGGTGTTGACATGTTAGTAACTTAACGTGTAGTTATTTGTGCGTAAATCTGATGTTTTGATTAATTAATGACACTCAACTGTGGGTACGTAAGCCTATGTAGTTGCTAAGCAGCAAATAAGGCCTTCTTCTCCTAGGTTGGGGTCTTATGTTTTCTATTTTTAAAAATTGATAAGCAAAAATCTCAACCACGTGGCGTTTCAGTTTTTAGAAGCGAGCAATTTCTCGTATCGAAGCAGTAGTTGTGGCAACCGTCTTTAAACATAAGACTTTAGGAGTGCGAGTGTGAAAACCTTTCAGTCAGTACTTGTGGATTATTGTCTCTGACGTGGTCATTTAGCTGCATTGTAGCGTGCTATGACTCACCGTGTGGTTGAGAATTCTAGAGGCCTGCTGCTCTGTTCGATCGTTTTCATGAGTTCCTTCGATCAATTCCAGACGGTTGTCGGATCCGCACCTTACTACAACAGACAACGGACTGCGAGATTATTCCTTCCCCACCCTGATCCCACTCCTGTCCTCAAGGTGCGGCGATGGCCTAACCGCCCACCTTCCAAGCTCTCAAAAGTACTGCGAGTGCGCAGAAGTAACGCCATGACCGAACTTGAATTTCAGCTTACCGTCTTAAGCGAACTTGGACATCTATGGGCGAAAATTATCTAGTGTAAATCTGCGAACCATTAAATTTTGTAAATAAAAGAATCAATTAATATTTTACAATTAAAATTTAAAAATTATTAAAATTCTATTGCAGGTACATTATTGCTTTTGCTCGCGCCGTATTAATAAAACATTTCCCGCTTAAACTACTTCAGGTTTTAACTAAAGCCCGTTTGTGGCGCCTCAAACGTTTCAGGACACTACGCAATATTTTTATAGGAAGAAGAATTTTTAAAATAATGTAAAAAAGAGGATGTGTAATAGATTATCATGTTTTGAAAAAAATAGATTTGAAAACATTTCATTCCCTTAATTTACATGTCAAGCTAGTTTCATGCTTATAAATTGTAGCTCGCCAAACCACAGCAAATCAACAACCTCATCAACGAACCGGAACTCGTCAATTTCTCTTTTTATTCAATACTTACTAACATTTGACTACCATAAAATACAGTTCGAATGACTTCGCTATTATTTGAATTTCTATTATTGTCTTACGTTACGTTATGAATTGAACTGAATTAAAATTATAATTGAATTACGTTACGGGACCGATACCGCAAGAATTAAAATGAAATTAATCTAATTAAATCCGGCAGTTTTCTCAAAAAATGTTTCTTACAAATTGATTTCCGTTAATGCCTTTGGATGCCGTTAGTCCAGTCACTTCGCTAACAACCGCTTGTGGTCGCGTGTGTGTGCGTGTTGCAGGTGACCATGTCGTACCTGGAGATCTACAACGAGAACATCCGCGACCTGCTCAACCCGTCGTCTGGCTTCCTGGAGCTGCGCGAGGACCCTCGCGGCCGCAGCATCCAGGTGGCCGGCCTCTCCGAGCTCTCCACGCAGTCCACCGAGGAGGTGACACATTTACTTACTTGCTTACTTACTTAATTAGTTTATATATTTATTTATTTATTTATTTATTTATTTATTTATTTATTTATTTATTTATTTATTTATTTAATCATCATCGAGATAGCTGTTGTCGGTTTTACCCGCTAGGGCTCGTTCTACACGCTTCCTTTTGTCGTTTTGGGGAATTTTTGCGATCGCGCGCATGCGCACTGCGGCTCTGCCGTTCCAGAAACCGCTCTGCGCATGCGCGCGCTCGCTAAACCTGAAATGGATCGTGAAAATGAAGCGTGTCAATCAGGTGGAAGGCATTCACAGACCCTCTCTGACCTCAGTTTAACGATCAGCTTACTTCACTCCGTGGAGCACTTACTTACCCCAGCCTCTCCGCCACCACGTCGCATTGACCCTTAAGCGCCCTTAAACTGCCTGTGACGTCGGGCGATGTTATTTCTACCTAGAAACGAAACGATGAACCATTTCACCATTTGCTTTGTGGGTCGGTTGGAAACCCCAGGGCGAGAGGGGGATTCTTTATTACGATGCCAGTGCCGAGCCGGATGAAAGGAAAGGGCAGGGCGATTGTGTGGCGCTGCGCAGGTGATGGTGCTGCTGCAGAAGGGCAACCGCGCGCGCACCGTGGAGCCGACGGCCGCCAACCGCACGTCGTCGCGCTCGCACGCGCTGCTGAGCGTGACGGTGCGCCACGCCACGCCGCTGGCCGGCAGCGAGCGCATGCGCACGCGCGTGCGCCAGGGCCGCCTCTTCATGATCGACCTCGCGGGCTCCGAGCGCGCCTCGCAGACCAAGGTGCGCCCCCGCACGCCACATTGCACTTCGCCTCACCACATTGCACTTCGCCTCACCACATTACACTACACCTCACCACATTACACTACACCTCACCACATTACACTTCGCCTCACCACATTACATTTCACCACCCCACATTACACTACATCACACACATCACAGTACATCACACCACATTACACTACATCACACCACATTACACTACACCACGCACATTACACTACACCACGCACATTACACTACACCACGCACATTACACTACACCACACACATTACACTACACCACACACATCACACTACACCACACTACACCGCGCACCACACTACACTACACCACACACATACCACATACTACACCACACACACCAAACTACATCACACACCACATTACACCTCACACCATACTATACCACACACCACGCTACACCACACCACACACCACACTACACTACTCCACGCACCACACTACACCACCCTACACCCTGAACCAGACAACACCACACCACACTATCAATAACTAGTAATTGTTTCCAGTAAATTTACAATCAAATGTGTATTTTGGGACAGAGCGAGCATAATCCCATGACTCCGTCTCTGGATCCTCCATTGTTCTGGCGAACTTGGAGCGCGCCTGATAAGAGTAAGGTGCAAAAACCGCCCAAGTATACCTCACACGACACTATCACACAATTTGTGGCAGCTTTGCCTCGTCTACCTGCAATATTGTCGTGAATAATGAGAAATATTGAATCGATTTATTGACATTCGGTCACTTGAAAAACAAGTATGGCCATTAAATCGACGTGACTACAGAGTGACTGAGATATTTATTGACTTAATAAAATAACGCATTTACAAAATAAAGGCCCAAATTTATATTTACTCATTTGGAAGACAAATCTAAACTCATTTGGACATCGTTTTTAATATTTTCAAGTGGCTAGATTTTCAAGTATAAAATTCTCAGTCATCTCCTGTCCACCACATGTCTCGTGGCCATAGAATGGCAAGGACATGTATGAGCAATGACATTTTTGCATTGGACAATTCAAAATTGTATTTTGAAAATCTTGAAAAACATGCAGTTTCAAATCAGACTTTAGAAAATCTATGAAGAAAATGAAATAGTTTCATTTGAATTATTTATCTTTATTAAATACCTCCAAACTTTCAGTCTGCATTGTTATAATATTTTCGAAAACACGTCCCACTCAGCCCTATGTCCCTAAACGTAGCGGTCAGCTGACGCAGCTGCTGAAGTGGATCGCGCATGCGCATGCGCGTGCGCAGAACCGCGGCAAGCGGCTGCAGGAGGGCGCGCACATCAACCGGTCGCTGCTGGCGCTGGGCAACTGCATCAACGCGCTGTCAGGCGGCGCGCGCTACGTCAACTACCGCGACTCGAAGCTGACGCGGCTGCTCAAGGACGCACTGAGCGGTAACTGCCGCACCGTCATGGTGGCGCACGTCAGCCCCGGCGCCCGCCACCGCGAGGAGAGCCGCAACACGCTGCTCTACGGCGACCGCGCCAAGAACATCTCCAACAAGGTCCCGCTTTGGCGTTTCTCACGCTGTTGCTGCCCTAGCCGAATGATCTCATATAATGCTCCTATCTCGCACTTTCCCGACACGCCCGGTTCTCGGCCCGGTCCAACCAGTCCTGGCTCAACCCGACCCGATACGATCCAGCCCGGCCCAACCCGTTCCGACCCGACCCGACCCGATCCGATCAGATCCGACCCCATCCGACCCTATCCGACCCGATCGTATCGGATCGGGCCGTATCGTATCGTATCGAATCGTATCGGATCGGATCGGGTCGTATCGTATCGTATCGTATCGTATCGGATCGAATCGAATCGAATCGAATCGGATCGGATCGAATCGAATCGAATCGAATCGGATCGGATCGGATCGGATCGGATCGGATCGGATCGGATTGGATCGCGTCGGTACGGGTTGGGCCGGGCTGGATCGTATCGGGTCGGGTTGATCTGATCGGATCTGATCTGATCTGATCGGATCGGATCGGATCGGATCTGATCTGATCTGATCTGATCTGATCTGATCTGATCTGATCGGATCGGATCGGATCGGATCGGATCGGATCGGATCGGATCTGATCGGATCTGATCGGATCTGATGTGATCGTCTGATCGGATCGATCGGATTGGCATCAGATCGGCATCTGTCGATCTGATCGTCTGATCGTTATCGGATCGATGATCGTGGATCGGATCGGATCGGATCGGGATCGGATCGGATCGGATCGGATCATCGCGTTCGATCGGATCGGATCGGATCGATCGGATGCGGATCGGATCGGATCTGGAATCGGAATCTGATCGGATCTGATCGGAATCTGATCGATCTGATGCGATCGATCGGATTCTGATCGGATCTGATCGGTCTGATCGATCTGATCGGATCTGATGGATCTGAATCGATCTGATCGGATCTGATCGGATCTGATCGGATCTGACATCTTCGATCTGATCGATCTGATCGGATCTGATCGGATCTGATCGGATCTGATCGGATCTGATCGGATCTGAGATTGATCGGATCTGATCGGATCTTGATCGGATCTTGGATCGATCGATCTGATCCGATCTGATCGGATCTGCATCGATCTGATCGGATCTGATCGGATGCGGTCGATCGATCTGATCGATTGATCGATCTGATCGGATCGTGATC